AAAACTATCTGTATGCTGCTCTTGCAGCCTGCCACATGTGGTCAGTGATGCCAGCTGCCATTTTGTGGGACTTGGGGTAGGATCCATGTCAGTTATCTAGGCAATGGAGAGGGGTCCGCAAAAGTGGTCCACCCAAGGTAGGCAAGAAGTCTCCCCTTCAATATGCCCATTCTTCTCTGATGATGGTTGGGAAAGGTGAGATGACTTGCCTTGACTGACTTCATCTTAGGAGTTTAAAATGAAAATCTGCTTTTAGTGAGCAATGAAATGGAGAAGAAAAGCACCATTCACAGTGCCAAGGCACCTCAGGGTGGGTGTAACCTGGCAGAGGCTCCCTGCAGGCAGTGCTTCATACCCCAACGAAGTCCCCATCTCTAATATTTCAAATGAACTGGAGACTGCGCCCACCAGCCTTACACCTCCCGCAGCAAATGCTGACCCAGCATTCAGTAAGATAAGTAAGATAGGCACAGCCACAATCATTTCTTTCTCCATCCAGGTCTTATGTGTCTTGATGATTCATATGGAGCCCTAGGGTGAAATCCCAGCTCACCTCCATTAGTGCCAGTGATGCTGGATCTGCCCTCAGGACCCCAATTCTGTACCTCTGAAAGGTGCAGTCTTGCAGCAAGAAGAAGTGGTTTAACCCAGCACTGCCATGCCCCCACCCCTTCACCCAACATGACGGTTTAACAGTGCTGACAGGGGCTTTTCCACACTTCAGCAGGAGTGTTAGTCTTGGCTGAAAAGTCCCAGTAACTGCAGGTTAAGTCACTCCATCCCAAACCCAATACCCTCCGCTGCCAGACCCCTCCTGCTATCCTTCACCGCACCATCCGTCTTTCCATCCAAGAAGCTCGCTCCCACGAAGCCTGCCCAAAGGGGCTGAACAAAAGGAGAAAGTGATGCTCAGAGTCTGGAATGTGGCCATGGCAAGGCAGGGCTCAAAGGGGACCTCCCTGGCCAGGAGAGGTGAAGATCGTCTGCGTGAGCCGTATCGTGTCCTTACCAGCTTCCCCAGGGCACAGAGCCCTCCTCTTGCTAAGACCAGAGAAGGGGTTGGGGAAATAAATCCTGGTGGAGGTAAAGAAAGATAAAGAGCTATGTTTGGCTCCTGATCCCCTTGGGAGAGGGTTCATGAATTATTGCTGTGCTGAGACAGAGTATATACACTTTGTGCTGCGTAAGGTTTCGTTTAAGATGTTTTATATAATTTGAACAGCACAGAGCAGCACAGCAACGTGCAGCAAATACAGACAGTTTTTAACTTTTCTGTGGAGCAGATCTATAGCAGGGAAGGGCAAGAGGAGAGCGGTGTGGGGATGTGGTGAGCTCGCTGGGATGCAGTGTGGAGGAGGCTGGGCAGCAGAGCAGGAGATGTGCTTGGAATAATAGACAGACACTCTCATTTTTTTCCACCAGACATTCCCAAGAGGTTGTGGTGGGGCGATGCTGGATCTGGGATGCTGAAGGAGTATCCCAGCTAGACAATGCCCCAGTCAGTAGTGCGGGTCAGGAGGAAGATTTGAGGAGAAGAAACCAAAGTGGCCCATGTCCAGTTCTTCTAAAAACACATCATGTCCATGCAGAGATCAGGTCGCACTGTCACACATTTAAACACATTCCTACAATCATCTTGCCTGATGACACCCTATATATAAATGTCCAAAACCAGCCTGATGTGCAAGATATTTTTAGGAGACCTGAAATGAAAGACTTTTAGGTTGTGGGCCTCCAATGTTTTTCAGCTTTGCTGCCCACAGGGAGCGTGCATGTGGAGCTACCTAGAACTCAACTTTTCTCCCTTTGGTAAATGAAGGGCAAGACTTGGGTATCATTGCTGGGTTTTGGGTATCATAGCCCTAACTTCAGCCATGTAGCCTGAGTCTGAGCAGGAGAGCTTGAAGATTTAGGCAATAACTGAGTCGAGAGGGTTGACTCACCCTGTCCCTTTAACCCCAGAGGTGTTTACCGGAGTGGTATCCCAGCTCAGGGGAGATGCTGGTCACAGCCCACTGTGATACAGGAGAGCTCAAAGGGTCTCGCTAGATTTGCTGCTTATAAGGTCCAAGATAATTTACTTTCATCAGGTACTTTTCCACTCCAGCCCAAATCTGGTCCTTTCCACCAGTTGCGCAAGCCCAGAACTTGCTAGACCTTGAAGTTCTGGTATCACACCCCTCTCTTTGGGCTGTGATCCATACATTGTCAGGAGTGATGGATTGTTGTAATTGTTCCCAAACGATAGGAGTCAGAGGAGCCAGGTAGGTTAATGGATTGCCATAGCACTCTGGTACCTTACTCTCCAATCTTTTCTTTCTTTTATGTTGGACCACTATCTGTCTTAGGTAATGTTATGGTCCATTGTATTATGTGGCCCAGGTCAGGGGGGAAATCTCTCTGAGTGGCCCAAAAAGGTGGAGTGGTTGCACCACCACAGCTGGCTAGCTTTTTGATGATGTTTGAAAAGTTTCTGGGTGGCTCTGTAGAGCTGGATGACCTCTGCTGACAGAGGACCAACCTCTAAAGGCTTGGGAGTGCCTCTGGGATAAAGCTAATGCCATTCCTGATTCCATCAGACATTGCCATGCCACTACCAGCCAGCCCAGAGAGATCAGACATGCTTGGGTTTGCACAACCTCATACTTCAACTGCATGAATTGTTTGTTCCTCTGCATCAGACACTGTTATACACCACACCTACCACTGCATCCACGGAAAATGCAAGAAATCCCTCATGAAGCAGAGTTTCCACCTCCTGTCTTCCCAACAAACATCTTTTCCTAACTCAGTGTTCTCCTTTGCAGCGATTTAAATTCAAAAAGTGTTCTGCTTGAAGTTTTGCAAGGGTTTGGCAAACTCGAAAGCCAAGAGGTGCTGGCTCTTTTCAAATAGCGCTTGGAATGAGCTGTGATCAAAACCAAATTCCCTCCTCTTTGGTGCAATTTCTGGCCCTCATCTGTGAGGTCCCAGTCTCCCAAGCACGCATTTATAGGAGAACCCTTGTGAGAGGGTGATCGGGGCAAGCATTTGCCTTTTAGTAAAGCCCTGTAGTGCTTTTGCACAAGAAACAAGAGGTTGTGGCGACTGGAAGCAGCCGCTGTGTTTGTGTTGACTGGCCATGGTTTTCAGCTGCTGGGGGTTTCCAAAGCAAATGAAATGTTATTCATCAAAGCGGGCTCCCTCCTCTACTTTCAGTTGTTGAAAATACTACAAAGTAAGATGGAAAGAAACATGTAATCCTTCATCATCACAGTGAGGATTTACTTGTTTATTTAGATTCCCTGTCTGTTCCAGATGTTCCGCCAGAAAAAGCCCATCCAGGCTCCAGGAGTGCTTGACACACAGTAAAAAAAAAAAAAGTCTAGATGTATATAGGAGATAAATCCATCAGAAGACACTGCCTTTCCTCACAGTGCACCAGTGCAGCAACCAGCTCAAAGTCCCACTTGCACAATAAAATATCTTGGGAGGCTTTTTGAAGGGAAAAAAGGAAGGAGGCACATCACTCTGGGCAGAAATAGATTTCAGTGGTGGCTCCTCTAGATCAGAAACTTTATGGTGGGGCTGTCCTTGTCCTTTTTTTCTGCTTGCAAAATGTTGCCCAGGTAGAAATCATGGAACTTTCTGCCTTTGTAGTCAGTGAAACAGGAGAGTTTTGTTAAGAGCCTCCCTAGGAGGCGAAGATCACCCTCTTGAAAGGTTTCTTTCCCTGCAGATATTACAAGGGAAACCAAAAGAGAGGATCCCGGAGCTGAGTCTCACTTTTAGCTGCTTAAGATAAGGCAGCTGAATCCCATCCCATCCCAAGTGACACTGCGGGTTGGGAGCCCATCTCCTTTGCACTGAAACTAGTCAGCAGCCTTTGTAGCTGTTTTTTCTCATCCCATTCCTACCCACAAACAGGAGGCAAGTTAGAAATAGGAAACAGCAAACATGGCAAACACATATAGCCCAGATGAGATGAGATGAAATGAGATGAGATGAGATGAGATAGACCTCATCCCACAGATGTTTTGCATTTGGACCATCATTCAACCCAGCAGGTTTGAACCCTGTGAGCTGCTCTTCTAGTGATGTCTTGGGCATTGAGATGAGATGAGATAGACCTCATGCCACAGATGTTTTGCATTTGGACCATCATTCAACCCAGCAGATTTGAACCCTGTGAGCTGCTCTTCTAGTGATGTCTTGGGCATTCTTTGAACATCAAGAACTTGATGTCCCTACTGGGGGTAATATTGCAGGCTGGCTCCTTTTTTTTTTTTTGCCTAAATGCCACAGACATGAGTGGACATCAAGAGCTTGATGTCCCTACTGGGGGTAATATTGCAGTAAGTTAGTAGTGTATAGAATGGGAGGGGCAGTTTTCAGACAATGGCCCTCCCCCAAAAATCACTTCAGTCCCAAATTATGGGATCTTTAATGCTCCTAGAGGCTGCTGAGATTTTACCCTTTAGGGTTTTGTCTGAAAGAAGCCCATATAATGAAATATTTAAGACAAGTTCTTGAAAATGCCAAACCAACCAGTTCTGTGTTTGGCTGGTGCTGTCCTTATTTCACAAGTTGACATGAAGAGAAAAAGGCAGGGTCACGTCAAAATCTGGAGTTTCTGAAGCGCTGCTAAGCTGAATCAAATCTAGAGTTTTCCAAATGTGACACCCCTTTGCCTGAACTCCACTGTCATACCAGAAATGGGGCAGCCTTCCTCCATAAATTCAATGTAGCCTCAGTGGACTGGACAGGTCTATCAAAACAGTTCATAAAAGTAATTGTGAATCACTAGTGTCATTAAGATCTACGATTTTGGGTCCTATCTGAATACAGAAGTGAAAGAGTGGATTTTACTAAAAAAAGCTATAAAAAAAGAGTAGAACTTCCAAAAACCCAGTCTCCTTTTGAAGAACTGAGAGCTGTTTCAAGGAACATCTGAATTAACCCCTTAATAAGTTTTTGTGTAAAGCTCACCTGTTGCTATTTTGTTTCTGCTGTCCCCTCAGCTCATGTGCTCCTCGGTCCAAAAAGCCCTGTTTGAGGAGGAGGACAGAGTGAAGAAGTTGCAGCAGAAGGTGGCAACGCTGGAGAAGCGCAACAAGCAGCTGCGAGATCGGGTGAAGAAAGTCAAGAGGTCTCTCCGGCAAGCCAGGAAAAACACCAGGCACATGGAGCAGATGAACCGAAAGCTCAGCGAGAAACTTTCCTCTGCAGGTGGTCAAATCCCCTATATTAACTCTTTGAAGCAGGAGAACTCCCATGGTACCTACCTTAAAGTATAATGCAAGGCTAAGTGCTCAGGCCAATGATACTGGTGAATTTTGCCTGCATTAGATCAGGATCTGGCCCTCACACCTTGTCTACACTGTGCTTCAAACCTTGCATGGAAAGTGAATCTGAACTTGCTTTAGACACAGTGCTAGATTAAACAGGAATGCAAACCGTGTTTGGCTGGGTGTTGGAGGCACAGCCCAGAGCCGTGTCCTTGCTGTCCTCGGTGGACTGTAATCTGTGCTTCTTGGCCCTCAACCCCCCTCCACCTCCCTCACTACTTTTAGGTTGTCTTTGATGGAAGTGCCAGTTCAGCCCCATGGGCTATTGCAGGCACTTGACACGGGAAGTCTTCTTGGAAAGATCTGGTGCCTACTTACCTCCTCCACATGGGCTGGGCAAGCAAGGCCAGGGCAATATATGGAAATGGATGCTGTAGGAAAGATGCAGGTATGAATGGTCTTTGCTCCATCATCACCCCCAAGCTCTCAAACTCCCTTAAGCTTGACTAAAATCTACATCCAGAGTCTGAGCAAAGGCTCTGTCCGGGATACGGTCAGTTTGTGTCCCTCTTCAAAATGAAGCAACGTGCCCAAAGTGTCTTAAGAGTGTTTCTAAATATCCCTAAATATTCTAAATAAAATATCTAATATTTTTTATTTTACCAGGAAGTGCCTCAAAGGTCTCAGTAACTCCCTCAGGTGCCTTTATGGAACGTGCCTTTTTGCCCATGGAAACCACATCATTTTGGGACTGTGTCTAGGACCTAATCCCGCTCCTGTGGTCAGGAGTGGACTTAGCCTTACTATTAGTGGGTGCTGGATGAGGCTCCGCAGACAATTTCAGATCCCATTTTCAAGCAGGTTTAATTTACAGTGTGGACAAGGCTTCAAGTTTTGTAATCACTGTTTGAGGTATAATGGAGGTTGCTGGGCAGCCTCACTTAGTTACACTTAGATACTGTAGAGACCACATCAATATCAACAGGGCATTAAAAACTAAGGTAGTTTATATATGTATATATTTTAAAATCCTATAGAAAATATTTTTATTACACATTTGATATAGTCTAATTTCTTAAAATATGAAGTAAATCCTGTTTCTTGGTTACTCTCATTTAAAAAAGAAAACAAAGCCCATCATGTCCTTTATTAGACATTTACAAACTGACTTTTTCTCAAGCAGCATAGGTTAAGGCATCCATGGCTGATGACATTTTCAGCTGTGTTAATGTACCAGAGCATGTCCTGGGTCTTGGTACTCAACTGCCCTTCCTTCCTAACAGGGCACCATAAGGAGAGAAAGGTAGAAGAAGAGGTTTTATGTTTTTCTTCCCTTCTCAAAATAGTTTTTCTTACTCCAAGCATGAAATCCAAGTGTAGATATGCTTCATGCTTTTCGACAGGGGCAGCCAGCCCTTGCCCAGCCCCGGGCAACACTGACAATCTGCCAGGGCTAAATCTGATTTGTACGAGGTGGACTGATCCAGATGTTCTTTAACACAGAGGCGAGGCCCTCAGAAAGACCAGCGTGCAAACCACCACTCTGCTTCTAACTCTCCACACTTTACCAGATCACTGCATGGTCTCCGTGCTGTGTCTCAGCACTCAAAATGCTCAAAAATAGAGTATCTCCAGGCTACAGCCCTGTGGGACATGCTTTAACTATCCTGTGCTAGGAAAAGCCCATATCAGCTTTCAGCCCTGAGCTTCAGTCCAAGCTGAACTCCAAAGTTAAGCCTTGTGTTGGCTTCTAGGATGCTGCTGAGTTTAATCACCTTCCAGTTTTGCTCCTTTTGGAAATAAAGCTTTTTTTTTTTTCCTTTCTTTTTTTTTTTTTTTTTTCCTTTTTTTTTTTTTTTTTTTGGTTCCTGGGACCTATGGGCTGTTGAGTTTTGATCCTGAATAGACAAATGTCCTGAAACACCAATAAAAACCAGTGCAGGTGAATGATTTATCATGGCCTGGTTGGAACTTTGCTCCTTCCTTTGCAACAATGGCCGTACACAGGAAAATCAGCCCTTTCTGGGGAAAAAACCCTGGCTATTTCTGTTTTTTTTTTTTTTTTTTTTTTCCCTTTCCCCTCCCTCTTGAAATAATATTGGCATTTCTTAAGATTCTGACTCCTCCACAAGCTCCACTGGTTTCAAAGGCTTTGCGCACCGAATCAGCACAATTTGAGTTGTTTTGTGCTGCAGTCAGCAATGCTGTTTCCTGAGAATTACTACAGACCTAAGGCTTCCCTAGAAGCCACCAGGAGATTTTAACTCCAAAATTTAAATCCATAGGAAAGCAACTAATTTTTTTTTTTTCGGTTTGTTTCTGGTTTCTAAACTGCTGTTTAAATAAATGAACTGTTTTTTCTGGTATAGGTATTAAAAGCTTGTGTTTTAATTGTTTGTTAATAAAAATATTCCCTCTGGTATTCATTCATGTTTTATAAATGTTTGTATAAAGCTGAGAAAGTATAGTTAATATAGCTACACCTTTGCTATTGCAAATTTTTCAAACACAGTGTTTAAAATCCTTTTCTTTTGGCTGGTATTTTTGTCTCTTGATGAAAAGATTGGAATTTTCTTTCTATTTCCCCCTTTCTCTAGCTTGAAAACAGAAAAGTAAACCGTTTTGTTCTCCTTGTCAGTTTTATGAGAATTTTGTTACTCTGTAAAGAAAACAAAAACACCCCCCACCAGACGCAAAATCCAAATGCAAAATCCAAATGCAACCCGAAATGTCGCCTTTGGGCACAAAACTAAAAAAGAGGTCGTTTCCTTCTGAGTTTTTTTTTCCTTTCATTCCTGCTTGGGTTTGGATCATTTCCAGAGATAAGGATTCGAAGTCAGATCAGATCACGAGTTAACCCTCTCAACAAGTAATAGGGGATGCCAAACCCAAATGAAAATGCTGTTAAAGGGTCACCATGGATTGCCTGTCCCTGATGGTGACAGTATCCAGAGAGTGACCAGGGACAATGTATGGGCAGAAAACATGAATATGAAGTGGAATTTGGGCTACATCCGTGCCGGTTGGTAAACATAGGGCATCACACTAAGTTTTAGACCAGCTCTGTAGCTATTCCAGGGACCAGCTAATATGGAATCATAGAATCATAGAAAGGTTTGGGTTGAAAAGGACCTTGAAGATCATCTTGTTCCAACCCCCCTGCCATGGGCAGGGCCACCTCCCACTAGAGCAGGTTGCTCAAAGCCTCACCCAGCCTGGAAAACCACAAAAAGGGCAAAACTTCATGCCATTTCCAAATTAATGTGAAAGGCATGATTGAGCATGCTCCTCTTGAGGTGCTACATGGGAGAGAATGAGGTGCAGAATTGCAGAGGAGGTTGATATAGCTAGATGGTTTGGCAAGAGATGGTATAATATCGCAAAATACGTTCTGGAAAAAGAAAAGGAAAAAAAAAAGAAAAAAGGGAAAAAATTTTTTAAAAAAAAAAGAAAAAAAGAAAAAAGAAGAAAAAAAGAAAAATACCAAACCCCAGAATTGTTCAAATGAAGAAAGCAATTAATTACAAACAACACCAAATGCGGCAGCGCCCCATGAGAAGTTTGGAGATGCTTTACAAATTAATAACATTTGCTTTTGCAAACACATCAGGAGCTCAAAGGCTGCCAGAACGTCTGCAGGGCCAGTGCTAGGGGTTCCCAGAACAGATAAAGCCAGAACTGGAGGCAAGGAGGGGGTTTTTGGCACCTGTGTTCACTGTGGAGGATTTTAGGGATGCTCTCATAGCCGAATCAGAGTTTCCTGCTGGATCCAGAGGATGACAAGAAGAAGTGAAGGAGCAAAATGAATAGTAACAAATTGCAAGAACAAAGAGCAAAGGGGTATGAACAGTAACAGAGAGTAGAATTGGCTGAATGATGACGAAAAATAATTCAAATGCAATGTAGGTAATGGAAATAGTTATTCATGGGCGGAAAGAAAAACAGTCCCATCTTTGCATGTGAAATAAGATTCTCTGAGCTGGCATCAGCCAGATAATACCATTAGATACAGTCAGTGCTCAATTAGTCAATCTAATCAATCTAGTATCATGACGATAGAGAAGTTGCACCATATTCTATGAAACCATTCTATGAAACTTAACGCTTAGCTGCCATAAAAAAAAAATATTCAGTGAAATTCAGTGAAAGTGCTAGAAATTGTTAGGAAAGGGCTAGAGACCATGATTACATTGCTAAGGACAAGGTCTGCCCACCTCTGGGATGCAGTGTGCAGTTATTCCCCGTCTCAACAAAAGTGTCTAATAGGAAATGTACGGTGAGAGGCAATAAAGCAAATCCAGAATATAGGATTAATTTCATAGGATGAGCACTTAAATTTTTCGGGACTTTGGGCTGGAGAAGAGATGAACTGAGAGAGGAGAATGTCAGAGGGCAGCAGGAGAGGGGAAATCTGGGGATTTTCTGCTTTTCACCACCAGCACATGTCTCTGTAGTGCTATGTCAGGCACTGGTTAAACTTTTGCAAGGTTTGTGTGTCTCACCAGAGCTGAAGTGAATACTTCAGATGCTGATTTGTACCCTGAAAGCACCTTCTGTCCTTAGACTTTACAACAGGAAGAATTCAGGGTGGGGTTTTTTTTGAAAGTAGATGTTTATAGAGCAAAGTGCATCAAATAAGCAGCATTATTTTCTCATAAATCCCAAGCATCATCCTGATTTGACAACCCTACATGGGAGAACCGCGTAGTAAAGGAGGATTTATGCAGAGCAGGCAATGTGAGCAGCTCTCTTTGCTTCCTAACACCAGAACCATTGAGAGGGGAACGACTTCCATATGTTTGAGCAATAACTTAGGGAAATAGCCACGTTATTCTGTTTGGGTTTTAGCAGAAGAGCTTTCTGGAACAGAAGGGCACATCAGTGTTTCAGAGCTGCATCAATAAAGCCCATTTTGAATACACAAAACGTCTCGCCAAACTAGGTAATCTCTCATTAATGAGGCAAAGGGGCCCGAATTCATTTCTAAAAGTAGGAGAAAGAACACAAAGGGAAAACTGTGGAGAGCAGATAAAACTGACAAGGTATGTCATTCTTTCTTATAATAAATCCAAGTAATTGCAAGGAAATTTCATTTTCCTCCCCACTTAACCCCAATTATTTTCATTTAATCACAGAAACGTTGCTATTTCCCTCCAAACCAGACTGCTTTGCGTGTGAAACACCGCTTCCAGCGTGCTCTTGAGTTTAGGCATGTTCTTAATCCCCTAAAACAAACACAGCGAGCGGGACAGCACGTCCCAGTGTACGTGGTGCTGTGCTGGGAGGGCTCGTTGGCTCCGGTCGCATGGGTTGTGTGGGGAACCGGGCCAAGTCCCCCCAACAGGCATTTCCCAGGTGGCATCGGAGCAAACGCCTGGGGAGGCAGGCACAACACAGATGTAGCCGGGCAGGAACAATGCTCTCTCTTCAAGGAATCGTCTTTCGGTTGGTTGAGATTTGGTGACTTGCTTGGTTTTCCATTAGATGGGCTCGGTGGCATCACACCACTCCTAAGGTGCCTGGTGATTTCTTCTGATGAGAGCGTCTTGGCAACTGCTTGCTGCTTTGGGTAATGTCAGTTGTGAGCAATGGCATTTCTCCCTCTGGTTGTCTGCCTCATGAAGAATTTCTTTTTCTTTTTACTGAAATTTTCCACAAACAAGGAGCCATTTCTCAGAACAAGGTGGTGGTGGGAATAACTGTTTTGCAACGCTAAAATATAGTCAGTGAAGTGACATTTTCTTTGGCAGGCTCCCACTTTGGAATTGTGACGAAGTTTGGCAGAAGTCCTCTCACATCCTTATATCGCCCTGCCTCAAAAAAATCATCAGAAAACCTTTGAAATATTTTGGCTTTACAATGAACACATGCTCAGCAAAGCCTTTGCAATGCTTCATGGCTAAAAAACCACAGCCAATGCCCTTAAAGAACCTTCCTGAGCCTGTCTTGGGTCTTCATCCCCACCAGCCAGTTGAGCTACCAAAGACAGCATCACAGACAGCCCTTACCAGAACAGATAAAAGCAAGGTTTTTACTATATCTCCAGCTGCAGGATGCCTCCCATAGTGCCCTGGGGCTGGAGCATATGCTGGAGGAGATCACAGCCTGTGCATACAGGGAGGTGCCATCAGGACAAAGGTGCTCCAATAAACTCAGCAAGTTGAGCAGAAACTAGAATATTCGACCTGCTCCCTCCAAGTTCATTGAAACCTCTCACTTCTCTGGAGAAGTGCCCAAACACCAGGCATGGCTACAGTTTCAAAGCTTAGCTTTGAATTACTGAGAAAAATCTGTAGCTTTAATGAGAAAAGACCTGGGATGTTGTGTTAGCAGCACAAGCCTGTTGGAGATCGAGGAAAATCCTGGAGCTGGGCAGAGCTTTGGACTCTGCTTGGTGCTGTGCCCACAAACCACACCATAAATACTACCAGAAAGCCACATATTAGTTCAGGCATGTGGGTATGCGGTTTCCAACCTGCTTGACTCATTTGGGCAGCAAAGAAGGCAGTCGGATCCCTCAGGTTGGTCTGCAGCTGTCCGTGTCGATGTGCCCCTTGAATCCCCTCCACCAGGGTCCAGAGTGGGTTTTATTGTGCCATTTTTTGGCTTGAAAAACAGTGTAGAAGCTCCAGTTCTACATGCAATTACCTAGATCTAAGGCTGGATAGGGACTGAAAGGGAAGTCACAAATACAAATCTTTTTGAGTGTCATACAGGTAATTGCTGACTCCCCTCAGAAAGTCAGATTTATCAGCATCGTGCCCTCTCAACACACAGCAGAGCAAGTCAACCCAGAAACTGGCCACCTCAACGAACACAATGAAG